ACTTGAACACTGGATCGTTCAGCAACTACGGCGGTTTCGACTTCAAGGGCTGGACCTGCGGAAGCGATTTCTCCAAGCGCGATTCTCTCGCTCCCCGCACCTTTGGCAAGGGCAAGGTCATTGAGGGCTCTTGCGGAAGCAAGAAGGAGACCTCTCCCTCCTTCGGCTGCGGCTCCGGCACCAGCTCTCCCGACAAGTTCTCCATTGTCCACTTCGACGTCTCCGTCGAGTTCGACTGCGACCTCGAGTTCCACTACGACATGCCTGATGGCTCCAGCTGCAAGCACCGTTCTGCTTGCTCCAAGTCTGGAACCACTGTCAAGAACTCCCAGTGCGGTGGTGCCAAGAACGTCACCATTGTCTACCCCGAGCAGCCCTCTAAGCCCAAGACCACCTGCGGTGTTGGCATCCACACTATCAGCTTCGACTGCAGCCCTCCCCAGACTACTGTTCCCCCCAAGACCAAGACCAGCTCTTTCGCCATTGCCACCACCCTGAGCACCAAGACCCATGACAAGCCCGTCAAGACCACCTCCGAGGCTGAGGCCACCTCCACCGCCGTTGTCCCCTCCGTCTCCAAGCCCACCAAGCCCGTTGAGGAGACCACCGAGGCCACCAAGCCTGCCACCACTGGCCCCTCCAAGGAGACTGAGACCGCTCCCGTTCCCACCAACGGCGAGACCGTCTCTTCTGCTCTCCCCTCCATCTCCATCCCCGCGGAGTCGACCACTGCTGTTGTTCCCTCCGTCACCAAGCCTGCCGAGACCCCTATTGTCTCCAAGCCTACTGAGGAGACCACCGGCGGCGTTGTTCCCTCCGTCTCCAAGCCTGTCGAGTCCGTCCCCGTTGAGTCTGTCACCAAGCCCGTCGGCGGTGAGACCACCTCTGCTGCCCTCCCCAGCGCTTCCGTCCCCACCGTCCCCATCAACGGCACCCAGCCCGCTGAGACTGTCCCCGCGACCGTTCCCGTTCCTGAGACCAAGACCACTGTCTACGACACCACCTCCACCGTCTACACCACCCGCGTCGAGACCGTCACCTCCTGCGCTCCCGAGGTCACCAACTGCCCCGCCAAGTCCCACGCCGTTGTCACCGTCACCGTCCCCGTCTCTACGACCATTTGCCCCGTCACCGAGACCTTCGTCCACACCCCCGGTGTTCCCTCCAAGCCCGCCGCTACCCAGCCTGCTGGTGTTCCTTCCCAGGGTGTCTCTTCCCAGAAGCCCGTCGCCTCGGTCACTGTTCCCGCTGGCCCCGTTGAGACTCTTCCCTGCCCCGATGTTGTTCCCCAGTGCTTGAGCACCTGGATGTTCTCTTCCGGCTGCACTGACAACTCCGACGTCGACTGCTTCTGCCCCGACTCCAAGTTCGTCGAGAACGTCTTCTCTTGCATCTACTCCTACGGTGCCAGCGACGAGATCATCTCCAAGGCCACTCAGTTCTTCCAGGGTATTTGCGCTGCTCACATCCCTGAGAACCCTGCCATCGTCACTGTCCCTGCCACCATCACAACCGCCATCACCGTCTCGGCCACCAAGCCCGCTGCCACCAACCCTGCCGAGTACACCACCGTCACCGTTGACAAGACCATCGTCGTCCCCTGCGTCACCTCCGGCACCACCGTTCCCGGCTCTTCCACCACCGCCATCATCAAGACCACCCTCGAGGTTCCCCACGTCTCCTTCGCCACCAACTCCGCTTCGGTTGTTGTTCCCGTCCCGGCTCCCTCTGCCCCGGCTGGAACTCCCGTTGCTCCTGGTGCGACAGCCTCCTCCCAGGCCCCGGTTGCTCCCTACCCTACCACCCCCGCCGCTGGCGCCAGCAAGACCACTCCTGTCGGCACTGGCGGTGCTGCCGTTCCCACCACCACTGGCGTCGTTGTCGCCGGTGCTGGCAAGACCACCTTCGGCCTTGGTGCCGTCGTTGCCATTGCTGCCCTCGCTGCTTTCTAAGCTGGGTAACATGGCTGCTTTCCCTCCCCTCCTCTACTAAGATGAAACTTACTTGAGCGCGGAGGAGAGATGCAAACCCCAAAATTTTCTTACTGTATCAAGTCGCTGCACGCACACAAATCTGTAATCTACAAGCCCGCAATTTTACATATCATTCTTACGATCCTTACGAAACAAACACATTGCATAGGTGGTTTTTATAGGTCTGGAAAACATTCGGTGTTATCACATAGGCTTATATCCCACATTTACCTCCATTTGGCCGCGATTCTTTTTAATAGAGCGCATCAGAAAAAAAGGGTGTTGGAAGATTTTTATACCCCTTGGCTTGTTGGATTAATACTTAATTAGCTAGTTCCTTTCGAGAGGAATACCAATGCGCTCTACAATGACTTCCTTGCTCCCTATCTGCCTCGTGATGTGTTCCAATCATCTGAATTAAAGAGAGATATCTTCCGATCCAGCTTGATCATGCAGACTGTTGTGAGTAAGTATGCTCCAGCTGCCCGTCATCGAGGTCGCAATGAATCATGTGAGGTTGTAGTTGAGACGGCCCCGGAAATGAGCCATTGTTTTGCACCGACTCTCCTATCCCATAACATAGGGGAACAGGGAAATAATCTTCAACTTCGCATGATTTTCCGTGTTGAAGCGATATTAATCAATTTGATCAAAACCCAACCAAAGTGCGTTGACCCAAAAGTCATGTTGTACATTGGCCGGTTGTTTGAATGTTCACGGGCTCACCGGTGTGCATGGACCCCCCCTCCCCTTTTTTCACAATGACAGGACTACCGTCATCCATCCATCGTGGGGTTCTCAGGTCCTCGATCACATGATCATCGCCTTCTTGGATTGTTGCATGGCTTAAGTGCCTTTGGACCACTGTAGAGTTGGCAATCAATCTGTAGGCTATTCTGATATGTTCATTTCTACGGTCCCACGCTATCAACGCCATTTGGAAACCTTGCTTGTCGATGAAGAAGGGGGATCGTTTCTGCGGAAGACAGGTTTTGGCTCCGTTGTAGAGAGTCGGTATCCCCTTCAGCTTTTAAGGAGCCTGGTTTGTCTACGAATGAGATTGTTCGCTTAAAGATGGCCTGCACTTGGATATAAGTCGTGTTCGGTCGTTGGTAGGGCGAGTGAAGATCGGCTGATCTGAATTCCTTATTCAGCTTCACGACTTGTTTGCGGCTGAACTGAATGGTACGCATGTTGGCGATGAACTTGTCAGACTCTTATTGAGGGTACAACGTACAATGAGCTGATTTTCTGCCTGCCTAAAAATGTCCAGAGTGACATCGGAACAAGTGCAGTAACCTGATCATGGCTGGGCGTTCACTCATTCTGAGGACATGGGCTTCAGAGAGACCACGTGTTGAGAAAGTTGAGAAAGTTGAGAAAGTTGAGAACGTCTCCCTTGTTCCGATAAAGTAGGTGCCCCCGTATTTAATTAATTTCTTAACGTACTATGCAGTACTCCAGCTGGAAACTTTCCTCATGTGCAGAATCACCGAGCTCTAGGTCAGAAAAGATCAATTTCAAGCACAAGCTCTCAGCTACCTAGATTGGACACTGTGGTTCCCGGCTTTCGTGAATCATTAGATCTCTTGTTCACTCGCATCGAGTTGTCTCAAAAAACTGACGCCGAGTTGAACGGGAATGAGTTGGCGATAGACTGCTTGGGTCGAGAGATGTAGCTTGATTACCTGGTAATGTGACAGAGGGCCTCAGCGCTTTAGGAGACTTGGATCCGTCGCCGTGTCTTACTCTATGCGCTTAAGAATCTACAGGCTCATACTGAATTTGCGTCTCTACTTTGTGGCAAGGTCATATGTACTCCGCCATACATTCTGCCTAGCTGCATAACTCCAGGACGGCATCTACAGGCCGTTTTCGAACCAGACTGCTCCACACTACTGCTTATAAGTAAGAAGATCCATACGTTGTCTTCTCGTCATGACAAAATTTCAATAGCTCCCAAGTCGTTCTTCGCCTTTCCCCGGCGTTTCTTACACGACCCCGTACGTTTGGTCGTTAGCCCGTCGGCGCCGACCCGATAATTCGGAAGTGGTCCCACTTCTGCGGTGCCTCGGTCCCGGCTTCGGAGACTACGACGTTCAACGTCTTATGTGCCTCGGAACCACCCCTCACCCCTCCTCCAGTAGAACCGCCCACCAAGACTTTTCAGATCTTCCCCATCGTGATGGAATCACAACCAGGCACATAGAGTCAACCCAGATCGTGCCTATGAAGGCGTCAAGCGTTATGCTACAGATTATACCATGTCTTGTCTTTGATGTTTTTGATCACATACACGTGCAATCAGTCCAAAAGTCTACCGATGCCGCTTTTGGCCCAATGCCTTGAGTTTTAACTCGTTAGCGAAAACGAGAATATCCAGTCGGCACCGGCGAACGGAGTGGATCCCTCTCCGATAACCAGCGACGGAGCCCCCGGAGACCAGAACATGATCTATAATCCATCTTTGAAATATGGAGTCTGTCCAACACTTGAGACATCCTGTGCTGGTTATCGATAAGTTCAGTTGACACCAAGCCATTTGATGATGCCATGACGCCGGTCAGGCTTTGGCAAGCCGGCTTATGCCGGCGGAATCGGTGTCTCAGGGAGGGGGTCGCGTATCCACTGTGGTCCCATTCCGAGTCATCAGAGTTCGGTGAATGGGAAGGAGGGGATGGGAGAGAACATGTTGCGCGCATCGTCTTGTTATACGATGGCCATGGTGAAGATTCTGGCGGAGGACTTGATGTGCCTAGTCAACCGGCGTCGGGAGTTACTAGTTATGCTCCATTACACACTTACCACATTGGCCCAGACGTCAATTATTGAGAATTGACGATCAAGATTCTATCTACCTAGGGCCTGACCATCTTCCGTAGAGATCGTCATCAAAAGTCGGCATAAGGACCCTTGGCCGTGTTACAACGGGCTGAGGATATATCACGACAGCCCTCGGGAGTCATTTTCATAAAACACATAGGCTGTAGAGCGAATCTGATAATTCATCGCCATGTCTCTATTTATCTCGCTACACACTAGTCTTACACTCTCATCGCTGGCTATGCAATCTCTCATGCTTGTATCATACACTAGTCCGTTCGCAGGCTTTCTAATTCTAGTTCGTGGCGCAAGCAGTGTACTTCTTCGCGGCGTCGGTTGAGCTAATATTATGTTAGCAATGTTTCTCATCAATCGTTTGTCGTGTAGAAGCGACTTACCAAGCAGTGATGCAAGCAGCGTCCTTGTTGCACTTGTCGATGCAAGAGACTTGGTCAGCAGCTACCTGCGTCTCACAGGCGGCGATGGCACCGGGGTCCTTTCTGGCCTCAAGAGTTGAGTCAATGGGAGAGGTGGGTGCGGCGGCGACCATGGTGGCGGCGAAGATGGCGAAGACAGCGGAGAACTGCATGTTGACGGTGTTGATGTGTGTGTTGAATGTTTAAAATTGGTATGTTGTGTGATCTCTACTCCGTTCAGGCTTAGATGTATTGGTAGATTCTTGGTTTGTGTGGTGGTTTGAAGAAGGCTTGTGTGTGCGACTTGTAGAAGATTCTCAATGTTTGATGTTGCAGTTGTTTATTGTTTGTTTGATGGATTGGAGTGAGAGGAAAAGCCTAGGTTGGGCGGGTATTCTAGCCAACTATATACATTTTCACAAACCTCCCCGTCACCCAACATCCTTCTCATCCGTCACCGCGATCGACTACCATCTGGGAGACGCCAGGCTCGCAACCCTGCCTCAACAAGACGCATAGTCCATGCCCAGACCACCCGCAGGGCTCAGCCGAATGCGTGGGTATGTGTGTGTGTCTGCCGGACGTCACTTCACGGGAGACAGGGATATCTGACAGCAATGACAACCGCAATGATGTAATGCCCCGGGCTCCCACTACCTTTTCATTCTCTCAACCTCTACGCAGTAAGCTTCATGATCGCGGTGGGGGACCGATTCCCTTCCACCTCTCCGTATTCGGGTCCGCTACCTTCGCCTAAGCAGTAAGCAGAGCGGTCGTCCGGGTCTGCCCTTGGAAAAGTCTCCCGATCTACGCCCTCCGACTCCGCAGGGTCCGGATCAATGACCTGCGGTTCCCTCCTACGTAGTAGTAAGCCATACCTTCTCGCGATCGGCTTCCATATTAGGCAACCATAAGGAACTCTGTTGTGAGTAAACACGCTGTCCGGCAGTCCGTGCATAGCCTCGATTACCTACGTCTGTTCATGCAAAGTAAGAAACATCAGACGACACACCGCGGCTGGCACCTCGGCATATCTTTCTTACTGCGGGTGGGGGGTACCGGTCTGTGACGTCGCGTAGCCTAGTTGAGTTATACTTGAGACGAAAAAAACGGCCGACTAGAGCAGGTTCCAGAATCATAATCGTTGGGCTTTACTTCCTTGAGCATAGTAAACCACTGCCTCGGGATCTTCTCGTGCGAACAGCTGAAAGTAGGAATTCCCCGATTCGTGTGCTTCCATAACCCTGGGTTAGGTGACGTTGAGGTGTGAGAGAGACAGAGACCGTTCAGATGAGTTTTCTCCGTCGTTTCCTTCCCCCGTCGTTGCGGCTTCTAGACCGGACCCCGTTGCGAACGGCTACGTCGTGGACTTGTGAGGCTTGCGGTGGCGGGACGGTGACGTTTTTGGTGAACTCTGTCGGAGGGCTGTACTGAGACACTTTCGTCGACGAGCTTAGGATCGCGGGATCTGGACTGGCGCCGACGATGCCTCGGCCGTGACGGTCTTGCGGTCGGTAGCGGTTGTTACCCTACTCCGTGGAATCAAAGTAGGCAGAAGCACTTGCTCTCACTGAAAATCTCATCATGTCTAAACATGTCTCCTCACGCCAGAAGCCACCTAGAGTCCATAATAGTCAGCTAATCAATCCCACACTCGAAAATCGCAAATCAGACCAAAGTCCGTCTTTACAGCCCACTGGCCTATACTAAGTCAGGTAATCGCTTGTAAAGATCTTCAAACTATTGTTTTCCACAGGTGACGGTGAGTAGGCCAGGCACTATCTTAGGGTTAGTCTACCGATCCAGAGTAAATACGCATAACGTTTAGAGTTGCCGGGGACGATTCCCGAGTCTTCCACAACCCATATACGTTTCAATGTGCCCCGTCTACGCCTCTCCAAGGTGCCGAAAATTTGTGGGTCGACTCTCGGAGTACATGTGAATGCCCGCTTCGTCCGGAGCCATGTAGGTAGTCAAAAGTCATACGGTAGTACGGAGGGACGGGAATGACGTAGAGGTATGATGTGTAGGACAAGGGTTGGCTTGACGACATTGGACGTAACGCTGACTACAAACCTAGACTTCTGAAGATCCGAACAGGCAGCCCGGGTAACATGAGTAGTGATCAATCTGATGGGCTGTTTCGATGATGAACAGCGAGATGATAAACTGACGTTGTCAAGAGATTTCCACTAACTGTAGAGTTGATAATGACAGCCCGTGATCGTAAGTCAGATCTTGCTTGCTCTTAGACTGACCTGCCTCCCAACCAGATGACCATCCACGCACAGACCTGGGCTGAAAGACTGCCTCCGGCTGTGCAGTACCTTCAGGGGTTGTCGGGAAGGCTCAGAGAAAGCCTCGCAGCTTGCCTGACACCTCTCACATGAAGATGAAATGAGGACCCGATCCATTTGGTTATAATATTTGTAATGTTTGCTGACAATCCAGGGCCGATCTGTAACGACAGGCCAGCCGAGCTATGATTGATAACATTAAACTGGTAAGTATGTGGTAAAAAAATATAATGATATGTGCCGATTAACTGGCCACCAAGCCGGTGTGATATCTTTCAATCTCGCATCCCCATATCGCAAATGCTCTGCCATCAAGCGTCGAAAATGCCAGAATATACCGCGCCGCCTGCCCGCACAACGCCCAAAAACTTGGAAGAGTCAACCACGTCTACCTTCGCTCCTTTTTATGAATGTAATGTTTATGTGTTGTTTTACTTTTTCTTCTTCTTCACCTAGTCGCGACCTGATTCGCGCCCAGAGTCCGAGGCGTAGTCGTCGACAAGGCTCTGCATCTCAACGTCGTGTATTCTACGATTCTGAATACGCATCTCCATGGGCTCTGGTTGCTCAAGAGAACCACGGCGCCCCCAGTTGCGAGGTTGGCGCTTGAGGAAAGCTCCGACGGAGCCTAGGTAGCCCTCGTGACGGAGGAAGTAGGCTTGCTTCTTGCCTTGAGACCAGAACTTGATGGCGTAGCTGAGGGTGTTGATCGTTTGTCTGTGTCCACGGATAAAAGATCCCCCAAAGTAGATGTGGTCCAGGTTGTGGGTCTGCGATTGAAGGAAGGCGATCTGGCCAATATTGTTGGATATCGCATATAGCAGCGAACGCGACACATCTGCTCCAGAGAAGGGCTCTTCTGAGGAGTGCTCTGCTGCTTCATGGGGGCTGTCTTCAGCTGACGCTTCCGGAGGCGGAGATGTGTTCTTGTTATCGCCGTTGTGTAGTCCCCCATGGTCTTCTGCTTCGTTCTCGGCCGTGCGCTTCATGCGGAAGACCTTGCCGAACGAAGATGCGATTGTGGTGCTCTTGAGGCCAATCTTGCCATAATCTCCACCGTAGATGTCGCCGACGAGCATGTCGACCTTGGCATTATCCCCCCGCTCTGACAAGTCGAGCATCTCGTCAAAGGTGCGGGCGCCCGTGAGGAGCGAAAGGAGACCCCATAGCGTACCACCGCCAAGTGAGGTTCCGCCTACACGTTGGTATTGGCGCGGTCCCGAGACCTTGAGCATCGAGACGCCGGAGCCTATGTTGACGAGGAGGTAGGGGTAGATGTTTTCTGAAGGTGAGACAAAGTGCATGGGGTCCGTTTCGCTGTAAGTGAAGACTTCGCGGGGTATCTCGGTAATGAAGAAGTCGAGGCCTAGAGGTAGGTTAGCACCATCGAGTATGCGCCGAGAGATTTCCGGGGACTGACCAATTATCAAACATTCCATCTCTTCCTCGCGCAACACATCTACGCCCAGGACATCCCGCATCTTGTCGTAGAACTTGAAGGCGCCGCCTCCCGTTGCCATAACGCTCAATTCGTTCGGTTGAGAGCCATTGAGGGCCTGCTGCTTGTCCTTGAGGTGGCGCATGAACTCAATGCAGTCGTCGATGCGATCGGTCTCGAAATTGAGAAAGTTGAGACGACCGCCGGGCTCGGTAGAGTGCGCCTCGCGCGTAAAGTAGACGAGCTTGATCAAGGAACCGCCAATCTGCGCAAATAAAGGGGATTAGCAGCTAGACAAGAAGGCAGAGCCAGGTATTGAGAGGGCAGTCGCATACGTCAACGGCGATGTGGCTCACAACGGCATGGTGGTTGGGCAGGCGGATATCGCTCGTCTCGTGGTGGGTCGGGGAACCTCGGCCATTGCTCCTCGGAGAACTCGAGTCCGGATCGACGATGAAGGCGCCCTTAACATTGATGCGGACTGAGCCTGGCCGGATGATGGTGTTGTCGATTTCCTCGGTGCTCGTCATTGTCCGGGCTCTCGTGCGGATATCGGCGCCGGCCAAGACTACAGGCTCGGAAGGGTTGTGTTCGCTGTCGATGGTGTTGTTGAGGGTGTTGTCGTCGTCTTCGGGTCGGGGGTCCTCTATGGCAGAGCCTCCATGATCAGGCGCAGGGCACATGCTCGGTCTTTATTTGGAAGTGTGTGTGTGTGGTCGTCCGGCGCGCGGAGACGGAGGAGAGGTCGGGTGGCTTGGGACGGCGCAATTCATGAACTTGGGGAGGGTCTAAGAGCTATGTTCGTAGCCGTTCGCGAGGAGCACGGAGGACGGGCTGGGGAGGTTGCGTCGGACGGTGGTGCGGTTGTTCGGTGCTGGGCTGGTGTCGGCGCAGGGTTCGCCTTGCGCTGGGCGTCAGTTCGCTTCGGAGTTGAAGGAGGCGGGGAGAAGCTCGTCGGAGGACAGAGAGGAGTGTTTGTCGAGGGCTTTGGGATTGTGGAACGCACTCGACGATTTTCAGTTGAACGTGACTGGGACCCTGGACCGATAAAAACTGCAATGCAAGTGATACCTCACAATTTATGAGCACCTCGAGTTACCCCCCTCCTTTTCTCCCCTTCAGCGACAAAATGCGCGCGCGACCCCCGCGTCGTATCTCCGGAAGGTTCGTTATCGATAAGCGGCAGGTCAGATGTACTATTTCCTATCTGGGCAAGTGCCTAGGCACTTTCTGGGGATTCGGCTAACGGAGCTAGGACCTAAGTACTTACCCTAGGGAGGGACCTTACCAAGGTCCCCTCCTCTACTAAGATACCCGTCAACCTCTCAAGTTTGGGAGCTTTTAGGTCAGGTGGATTGTTGAGGTCCCCAATGCCGTTGGACCGAGGCTTTCAGGGTAATCGCCAATGAACCTATCCCCTCATCATCGTGTACTTCCTTTTCTCCGCAAGAATTCGGACATAGACACGAACGTCGTCATTCGTGCGACGTTACCTCTGGCTTTTTCGGCAGCCATGCAGATCCCCTTATTACCACACACCCAAGGTACCTATCCGACAGCCGACCCGATTGTGCCGCCGCCCATCGGTGTGGCTGTCGCTGTGCAGGCCAATCGATTG